AGAAAATTGAATTTTTTTGTTACCTAATACTTCGTGTTATTGATCCAGAATGATGAACACGTATGAATTCATTACTTGTTGTTGCAATATGAAAATATGATTGTTTTTCATTCACAAAAAAGGTGTCAGGTACCCAAATGTTTTTTATGAACTCAGATCCAACCGATAGTGTTTCTACACCAGGCCGTTTTCTATACGCTAAACGAGGATCGGTCCAAAATTGACGAAAGTAAAAATCCAATGTAAAGTCCTGATTATTTGTATTTTTGTTTCAAATATGTTTTGTTTTTAATTGTTCATTCATAGAGCAGTTAGTTCCAATTTGAGTTTTTGGTTTTTTGGTTTTTTTATTGTTATTTTGCAGTTATTTCAATATGCAGTAATTAAGGCGATTGTTGTTGGCAATTAATGTTGTAGCAGCAATAACGAGATATTTGTTGTAGGTAGCGATGTTGCGGGTAGGCGGTTTCGAAAATTGAAGAGGGGAAAAAATATTTTGCAAATTTTGCAAAAATGATAAAGAAAAAAATCAATTAGTACAATTTGCGTAGTTCTAAGTTAAGTTTCGATTTGTTATGTATTGAGAGTATTCAAGTTAAAATCATTCTAAGTTAACTGTGTAAAATTAGTAAAAAAAATATTAGAAAATTAACTTTGTAAAAATTGTAGAAGAAACTAAAAATAAGTAAGGAACTAATTATGCTAATCAAATATAAACTTTATCAAAAAACGGGCAAACTTCACAAGCCAAGTTAGGAATATAAAAAAAAAAAACCATCTAAAACCAGCGTAACCATACGAGCGAACAACAAGTAAAATACATGCCTAATTTAACGTATTTTTTATTATTATTTTAATACAACGGAGTTGAGGGTTTAGAGGGTCCATATTAGGTCTTCGAAAATTATCATTCACAAAAAATTGGTTTAAATGAGGAAGTTATTGATGACGTTGTCGTGCATAGAGCGCATGCAATGAACTCAAACATTTAAAATTACAAGTTGAATATTTGATCAAAAACTTAAGCTAAAAAAGCAGGCAAGCGAACATATTTAAACGAAAACGTTTGGTAAGTAATTTATAGTATTTGAAAAACACATGTAACATTTGATATTTTGCACAGTAATATCTATGTAAGTATATGGATGCATTCGTCGTGAGGTTGATGAATCGTTTTGTCAAAGTGTGTGCTGCGGAAATAGAATAGCATACAGTTAGTTTGGCGACATTATTCTACCACTTTTAAAATAATACATTTATCGAATTCCTTCCCAAAAAGTAGATACACTGCGTAATTGAAATATGGCACCAAACTTGGGTCTTTTTTACTAAAGGTACCTTTTTTAACTGCTATCCTACTCTGAAAGTCCTAACTTTATTTTTTATCTAGCGAATCAATATTTTTAAACAAATTCACCTAATTTATCACGAAACTGCAATTGTATTCAAAATATGATGAGGTGAATGTTTATACACAGATGTGGTTATAGGTGCATAATATGAATTTTTTTATGTATTACTTTGTAGTGTTAACAAATTAAAGATTCTGTTGAAATAAATAAAACCAATATTAATAAGTTTACTATAGCAGCTAAAATTTAACAAGTCTACAGAAAAAAAAATCCGGCCTGCGATATATTTATGCGTATAACTTTTATGCAATGTAAAATATTCCACTGAATCCGAATACGAAATCAAAATATAGTAAAATAGAGAAAAATTTTTGGAGATATTCGAGATATAGTCGAAGTTCGGTTTTTTTAGAAATTAATTGCATTTTTTTACACTTGCCATTAACTATATATGTCAACAAAATTTTCCTACCGTATGATTTTGCATATTTTTACAAAAATTTTCAGCAAAAATGTAATTTTCGTACAAATTTCAGCATGAAAGCATTTTTATACTGTCGGTTTGTTTCTTGGATGTCAAAGTGGGATCTTTTAAAAATACAATAAAAAACTACCCTGCCTAAATTAATCGAGTAATAATTGTAAAAGATGTGAGCATTTAAAAAAATCGGTGGTCGAAAAGCACCGCTAAATATCAAGATTTTTATTCTTAGATTTCGCAATGAAAACGTTATCTTGTGAATTTTATTTTCTCGATAAAGAATAATTCCTAAAGAATTTTTTATTTATTCGGTCATATTTAATCGTAATTTTGAGATTTTTATTTTTTTCGCACAAAAATAAACGTTAATTATGGATTTTTCCCCCCATTGGTTTGAACCGCTATAATGGAGACTGCGTTTTTATGACCGATTTAAATTTTTTAAGATATAATCGAAACAAAATAAAAATCAAAAATGACGATCAAAAAATTATCGAAAAAAATAAGGCTACAAAAATAACAATTGTTTTTGATTAAAAAAAAAAATATATCAAAAATAACTCATCAAAAATTCTTCGAAAAAGTAAAAATCCAAAAATTATGGTTATTTATGATCGAAAAAATTTTTTGTAAAAACTAACGTTAAAACATTTATCGAAAAAAACATCCAAAATGAGAATTATTTTTTATCGAGAAAAACGAAAATCAATCCAAAATTATAATTATTTTTGTTCGAAAAAAATAAAAAAATAAAAAATAACTAAAACATTTATCGAGAAAAAACATACGAAATGAGTATTATTTTTGATTTTTGAAAAAATAAAAATCATAAAAAACGATTGCTGTTAATCGCAAAACTGCAAAAATCACGATAAATAAAAATAACGATCGAAAATATAAACTACAAAAAAACACTGGCGGGCACAATTATTTTTGATGGAAAAAATCAAAATACAAAATAACGAACAAAAAATTTACCGAAAAAATAAGCATCCAAAATAACGATTATTTTTTTATCGAAAAAACATTGATCACACGATCAAACACGATCGAAAATTTACCGAAAAAATTTCAATCCCAAAATAACGATTATTTTTTTTAGAAAAAAAATAAAAACAAAAATAAGGATTAGAAGTTTTACGAAAAAAATAAATATCCCAAATAGCGATTATTTTGATCGAAAAGAATAAACAAAAATCAAAAATAACGGTCTAAATTTAATAAAGATTTGTATTCGTAAAATTTAAAAATTACAAACAAGGATAGAAAAAATCCAAAAATAGATAACGATTATTCTTAATCGAAAAAAAACATAAAATAACGGTTAAATTTTATCGGCAAATAGAAATTGAATTTTAGAGGTTAAATTATGAATTTTATTTAAATGTCAAAACCTTTACTATCCATGGTGAAAATATGTACGAAGATTGCATGGTTTAAGACGATTAAATCTACACAAATAGTTACAAAACCAATATTGACTCCATGGTAGTATTAGATACATA